ACCCCAATGGAGGCTATACTACCAATACATTTTTGCAAAAACTCCTTACGTTTATAAAGACAAGGAAGCTGAAGGAAGAGATGGTGATAGAGGTGACAGACTTGTTGGCTTAAACTGTAAGAAGATCTGACGTTTGGGGCCTTTCACTTCCCTCCACTGCCCCTTCCCCAAGCCCAGCGTCCTTGGTCATCACTAATTTCTAGGCTGAACCCTTTGTTTTATGGAAGAGGAAGCAGGAGACTAAAGACATTAAGTCAGTCACCCACTCTCCCCACATGAAAACCTACTTGCTCCTAATTATTTTCATGTATTAGATCTATAGATTATACGTAGATTTATGAAATGAGCATAGTTCATGAAATGAACTAAAATGTTTATATTTTGAGATACGATTCTGGTTCTACTTCTGTAATCATTTTGACTTTTGATTATTAAGTAAGTTGTAGTTATTATTTGCTGAAACACACATAAGAACAGAATCTTAAATATAATACTCATAGAAAATAGAAGAAGATACTGAAGGTATCTTTTTTTTTTTTTAACACGCGAGTTGGGGAGAGGGACAGAGAGAGAGAGAGAGAGAGAATATTAAGCAGACTTTACGCTCAGCATGGAGCCCACCTCTGGGATTGATCCCGTGACCCTCAGATCATGACCTGAGCCAAAATCAAGAGTCAGACGCTCAACCAACGGAGCTACCCAGGCACCCCTCAACATATGATTTATGCACAAAAACGCCCTGTCTAGGAAGAAAATTAGGCATCTTTATAAATGTACTTTTTCTAGTAGTTTGCATCTTTTTAAAAATTTTATGATCTAGTGACTCTTTGGTTACTCTTCTAGAGGTTTTCTAAGCCACCTAAACATTTTCTGTTTGAGTGTTTGAAAAACCCTTTGGTCTCCTGGTAAAAGCATTAGTGTGTGATCAGACCAATAGTGTCTATTACCTTGTAGGGAGATTTCAATTCTGAAAGTTGTAACTGAGTTCTGTTTTCCATTAACCCTTGAAATACCTACTTTTTCATCACTTGAGAGATTTTACAATGGTTCAAGACTATAAGGAAGAGTTATTACACATTTACACAGGTAGACAGATATGATGATGGGGTTGGTTTTATTGTTCTCCAAAAAATTATTGAAATACCTACTCTGTCCTAAGGTACTATGTTGGAACTGGGTATATTGGGGTATAAATACACCTGTTTGCCACTCATGAGGATGTTGGAAGGAGGTCAGGGGAGGGTTTGAATAACCGTTAAGTTTGATAGATAATAGGTAAGAAACCATGAGCCCACGTAGGGTAACTGTGTAAAAAGGGAATGCCTCTCTCAGCTGACACTTGGGGAATGGGGAAGTTGGTCACTTGAAGGACAGGAAAGAACATTCTTGCAGAGAACAGCATACCTAAAAAATCTGGAGGCAAAAAACTTTGCTGGGGTTTGCAAATCAAAAGGCAGTCACTTGGCTGGATCATAGTGGGGGAGAGGGGTAGGCAAGGGCCTCTGGGCAGGGATAGGGTGTTGAGGCCGAGGCTTGTGCTTGAAACCCATGGCAATTACAAGTTTGGGTTTTTCTTTGTGCACATCGGGAAGCTATTAACAGGAGTGATAGGAGTACATTTATGTTTTATGAAGATTAGAATTAGAGGTGGGTAGGAATCGACAGGGAAGAAGAGGTTATTAAGGAGTTCAGGAAAGAAATGATAGCTTGCATGGCGGCAGGGGGCCAATTCAAGATATATTTTGGAAACATGTTTTTACGTAGCTATTTGAATATGTGCAAAATTACATATTTTGCCAAAGATAGGGAAGGTAAGGAAAAGGAAATATCAAGGCTGACTTCTGGAATTGTGGCTTGAAGGAATGGCATTGCCATTTATTGGGGTGAGGAAGAAGAGTGAGGGGAAGAACAGATTTGGAAGAGGAAAATTGATTGATACTTGTGAGCTGTTAGGAATGTCAAGTGGGCAGCTGGGTTTGAAACCTCAGAGGTTCAGACCAGAGTTACAAATGCACGAGCAGTTGGCTTCTAGGAAGTATTTAAAGCCCCAGGAAAGCGTATCATTAGCTGGGGCGCAAGCGTAAAGTGAGGAGAGAGCCAGACGGAGTTTTCTAGGACATTCCCACATGTAGAGGTTGGATAAGAAGTTGCCCATTAAAGAGAATGAGAGGGTGTAGCCTGAGAGACTGGAGAAAGGCAGGAGGGTGTGGTGCGTTCTGAATCCCAAGAGAAGGAAACGTGCTGACAAGAAAAGTCTTACCACCCTTGCTGGGGCTGCTAAGAGATCAAATGTGATGAGGACGACAAGAGTGGGTTGTCCATGGCATCGTCCACCCCAGTGGAGTCAGACTGCTGTGGCTGTAGGGAGTGGGGAAGGGAGGAAGTAGACGACGATAAGGGTCAACGATATTTTTTTGAGAAGCTAGGAGTGGAAAGCAGAGAAATCCGGTCGTAGCCGATGGAGGACGTGAGATTGAGGGAAAGCTACTTTGTTTTACTGAAATGGGAACCACTGGAGTATGACTGCATTTTAGTAGAATTTTAGTCTGAAGAATATGTATTAGATTGGCTCTGAGCTAGCAAACTCACGTTCAGAGAAGACAGAAATGGATTTCTGCCTCGTGGCACAATACAGAGCAACTGAGCTGTGCTCCATGGGTTCATCCAGGGGCCCAGGTTGGAAGGGACAGCTCTGGCATCCTTCTGAATTTGAGGTCTCCATGACTGAGTGTGTGGCAATTATGTCCACCATTTTTTTCTAGCCAATGAGAAAAGGAAACCTAGGGCAAGGGCCCTTGCCTTTAGGAAAAATGACCTAAACATTTTGAATACATATACTCTCTTTTCTCATTGGTCCACACTTCATCACATGACCTCAATTAATTGTGGTCTGAAGCTGGAGGGGGAGGAATACCGGTTAAAACAAAGTTTAATTACTAAAAGATGGAGAACATGGATTCTGAGAAGAAGTCATTTGTGCCACTCCTTGGGGTGAGGAGGGGAGTTACAAACATGTTTATTTCTAAACCATGGACAGTACTTGACTTCTATTTGGTACTTAATAAGAGTTCAGTGAATTAATCTTCCCCTTCTAAAAGGTAGACTTTGATTGTAGGCTCTGAATTACACAATACCATCACCTTTGTTCCTCCTCCACCGTCTTTTCTGTAGACTTGATGCTTTCTAGTGAAAGCACACAACAGAGAATATACTGTTTACTCTCAGATTTGCTTAAAAATCTAAAAGGTAATGTTAGAGGCAGGAAGGAAATTCGATAGTTTTATTTGGATCACTATCTTGTTCTGTGTTTGGTCTGGATATTTACATATGCTTTGGGCAACTGCACGCTGCCAGGTTGACGTCTTTTGTGCAAGAGGGAGAATAGCTGCTGATTGTTAAAAATAAGTAAATAAATAAACGAACGAACGAACCCTAAATAGAAAGCATGGATGTTGAATTTCATTTATAACATAGACTGGCATTTGTGTGCTCCCTCTTCTTCTAATTATTAAACCTATTCCAGCGCATATTGTGAAGATCGGAACTCCATGGTGATTTTACTGTGGAGTAGTATTTTGTGTAATTCTGTATTTCACTAATGGCTGTGTCATTTGCTTACAATATTATACTAGCCCTTTGTTCCTGATATATTTTTTTTACCATGAAATTAGATTTAGGAAGGGAAATTCCAGGATAGGCTGGGATATTTGTTTTTGAGCTATTAACCACATACTCAAGAAATCACCTAAAACCACATGGTAGCCACTGGCATAGCACCTCTCTTGCTGTTGAAAGCAGAAAACTGCTTTAAACACAGTGGTGTGCCCCTTAGTTAGGGGGAAGAAGTAACCACAGAAAATTAAGTTCTCTGGATACGGTCACGTTCGCTTCCCTCATTTGGTAGATGTAGAAACGAAGGCACAAAATGCTTGACTCGCAAGCCATTACGAGATGGTGATTATATACTTTTGAACGTTTTTATTTATTTTGAGAGAGAGAACACGGACAAGCAGGGGAGGGGCAAAGAGAGAGCAGGACAGAAGATCTGAAGCCGGCTCTGTGCTGACAGCAGAGAGCCCGACGCGGGGCTCAAATACACGAACTGTGAGATCATGAACTGAGTTGAAGTTGGGTGCTTAACCCACTGAGCCACCCAAGCGCCCTGATGGTGGTTATATTTTAGTAGGGGTCTTTAGATGTAAGAGCAGATTACGATATAAGATCTGTTGTTTGAGTCCCCTAAAGAGCTGAGACAGACTCCTTTTTCAACGCCCGGGGGAAGGAGGAAGCCAGGAAGAAGCAGTGAATTTTCACTCATGAAGGAGGGAGAGGTGAGACTGCCCAGCCTCCCTCCAGCCCCAATCAGGGCTTGTGCAGGATGGGACACCTTCCACGTCACTGAGGAAGCCTCTGGTGTAGTTGTCATTGTTCATTCACACGGGGATAACAGGGTTCTGAGAAATCGGAGAAAAGGCATTTGCTCATGGAAGTAATGGATAGATTCAGGGGTTCCGGAGGCAGAGCAAGGGGCCCTGTGTAGGGACAGAAAGGGAGAGGGAATGAGAAAGGATATCCACTTCCATTATTAGATCATCCTTCCCAGAGATTAAAATATAGACCCGGCTGATGCTACAGATTCATTTTCCGAAATTAAATGTATCTCAGTTATGTAATTATTGTGACGTTACCTTAATGACATTGTACGGCCATCTGTGGCAAAAATCTAATAGGAATAAAACCTGTGATCATTACGAATAAATTTTGACTTCTAGTTACGTGTTAATTCTGAACCATTCACAGGCACCCATCTTTGCGGTGAATTTAGGTCGTCTGCTAGGTGCGTGCAATAGGATTGTGTTCCGATTGCAGGCCTGTTTCGCTCCTTTTGCAAAAGTGGCTCCGCGCAGCCCCTCAGGGGAGATCCTGGCTCTCTTGCCTAGGGAAGGTAATCGCACCAAGTGATGGGACCGTGCCATTTTCTGTTTGCAGAACAATCAACCATGACGACCGAATCCGGCTCAGACTCAGAATCCAAGCCAGAGCAGGAGGCCGAGCCCCAGGAGGCAGCGGGGGCGCAGGGGCAAGCCGGGGCGCAGCAGCAGGGGCCTGAGCCCAGCGGTGAGGACCAGCAGCAGGCTCTGGAACAGTTCGAGGGCGCGGCACACAGCACCCCCGTGAGGAAGGAGGTGAGCCCCGGGGCACAGGACGCAGGCGGCCACCAACTCCCCCGCACCTGCTAGCATCACCCAGAAAGCCAATTAAGGAATGTTTACTGACCTTTTCTGGGGTCTGGGGGCCGACCTTGGTCTCTTAGCACTAGAGGCAACTATGAGGGGTCATCTGTTTCCCCCTTCTGGTCCCAGGCAGATGGAAAGTTTTTGCTGTTTTGAGACTTTCAATGAATGACATTCCACAGTCTTGCTTGGTAACTCCTTCATTTGATTAAAGCACTTAAACCCACTGAAATCTGCACTGCAAGTTATTGGTCTTATCTGGATTTCCAGGAAGGACAGACCCCACACCTTCTGATTTGGCTCCTGACTTTTATTCAGGCCTATGGGTTAGAGCTAATTTGATTCTTCCCAGGGGTCACTCTGAACCTCATGTTGCCAGCTACTTTTAATGGGTGTTCAGGTGGATCTCTTTCCCTCTCCTATGTGCACGTATGTTCAATTCTGTTACCAAAATAGACATACTTAAGTTGCCACATGTGGTGTGAATATTTCTTGTAAAAGCTTTCATACAAAATATAAAGCATGATTTATACTGGGCTTTGAATGAATCCATTTTTAAGTTATTTTGGCTTAAAATTTCAAACCTGAAATCAGCATGTGTTAGAATACTGTCTCGTGTGGTAAGCAAACCCAGGAGTTCCTGCAAACAGTTGGCCTTTTCTAGGTTGGAAGTATATGTATCAAGCTAGAAATTCGAGATATTGAGGGAAGAGACACGAAATTCTTTGCAAGGTGCAACACATTATTACTACCTTAAACTGTGTTTGCATCCTGATTATGTTTTTTCCCATGCTATTTAAGTTCTGCCTTTAAACAGTATTAAAAATAACATTTATTGGAGCACCGGGGTGGCTCAGCCGGTTGAGTGTCTGACTTCAGCTCAGGTCGTGATCTCACAGTTCGTGGGTTCAAGCCCCACATTGGGCTCTGTGCTAACAGCTTAGAGCCTGAAGCCTGCTTCAGATTCTGTGTCTCCCTCCCTCTCTGCCCCTCCTCAGCTCACACTCTGTCTCTATCTGTCTCAAAAATAAATAAACATTAAAAAGAAATTTAAAAAACATTTATTTTCATGCTCTGTAAATAGATGCTGTGTCTAATCTAAGCTGTTTCATGATGGGGAGCTGAAGGATATCCTTCCAACTTAAGGAGCTGTGTTTGCCCTCATGGTTTTTCTTTAATGTTTCTCTCTCTCTCTCTCTCTCTCTCTCTCTCTCTCTCTCTCTCTTTTGGAGATGTGATGGTGTTTTGCTTGTTTTTAAAACTTCAGAAATGTCAAATTATTAAGACTGGATTTTTTTTTCCCATTCTTTTCCTCCTAACTCTGAAACGAAATAAACGTGAGAGTGGGAAATAATTGTAGAGAAGGAAGAGTTTCTGTGCCAGGACGTGATACATGTACTTGATCTTCTGGAAGTCAGATGTTGGAAACAAACTAAGAGAGATGATACTAAGCCCTTCAAGGGAAAGGTAACTGGCGGTGGAGTCCAGAGAACTAGTAAACTCCTGCCTCTTCCCTATTTGAGTCATCTCCGAGAACTTGTCTAGCCTCTGCCCCTCGGCTTCCTCGTTCACAAAGTGAAGAGATGAGAAAAGATGGTTTCCTTGGGTTCTTCTCCCCTCTGTTTCTGTGATTCATACTAGGAGCCCAGTTACACTAGAGGTGAAATGAAGCACATTTTGGTTATCGTTGATGATTAAATCATGGGCTTGGCGGGATTTGAATTCCAGGCTATTAGTTTTATGACCTGGAGGAAGTTTGTTGAGGTTGTGCCCTGCACCCCTTTCTGTCCTCAAGTGTAAATGAGGGTAAGGATACCTAGACACCTACCTCCCAGAGCTGTCATGAGAATTAAGTGAAACAGGATTTGCCTAAAGGGTTTTACTGATATTTTTAAATCGTAATGAATTATATGTGACTACAGTGGACGTTTCATTTGAGGTCCTTGGTCTGCTCGTCTGAAGTTAACGTTGTTGAAAAAATGGGCGTGAGAGACTCAATGATGGGTGCGTGGAAACGACCCCTGGAAACACCTCCCTTTGCACACTGGTGGTTTCAGGTGCGTCTGGCGTTGACTGATGAATAGCCCAGAAAGCTTTTTTCTCATACAGATACTTTTATTTTATTAGAGGAAAAATGAAATTTCACCTTCCCTAATACATCGAAAAAGTTGACTCCAGGTAGTAAAATTTAAATAAAAATGTAGTTTCTGGTGGCTTTGCCTGTGATGAGATGAAAATGTAGATTAAAAGTGCAAAAGTCTCACGTAAGTTATACAGGCACTTAGCAAATGTGTGGCATAAAATTCCAAGGTTACCAGACTTCTTCAGCTGGCCTAAGGCCAAAATTAATGTTTGACTTTTCTGTGGCACTATTTTAATGCTTTGATACGGAAAGACTAACAGTCAAAAAAAAAAAAAAAAAAAAAGTTGGACAAAGTCGCCAGACCTGCAGGTTTTCTTATATTTACTTGTTTTAGCTACCGCTAGCCTTCTCAACTCTTTGGGCCTTTGAAGTTGGTATTTCCATTTTTCTTGGTTTCTTCACGCAGCAAATGAGTGTCTTTTTATCCTGAAGAACTTCTCACAATTTTGCCCTGACTTCCTGTGCAAGGTAGTGGAGGAAAAGACTGTATTTACAATATTCTGGATGGAAAACCAGATGGAAGATGCCACTTTAAAAGCAGAAATCCGGGGGTGCCTGGGTAGCTCAGTCGGTTAAGCGTCGGACTCTTGATTTCAGCTTGGGTCATGAACTCATGGTTCGTGAGTTCGAGTCTCCCACATCAGGCTCTGCACTGACAGTGTGGAGCCTGCTTGGGATTCTCACTCCCCCTCTCTCTCTGCCCCACTCCCTGCGCTCTCTCTCTCTCTCTCTCAAAAAATAAACTAAAAAAAAATTTTTTTTAAGCAGAAATCCATACCTAAAATCCAAAATAAATACATTGAAAGAGAACTTTGTGATTAGAGTGTCGCAAAATGGTAGCCACTGAATAAAAAGGCAAGTTGAAGTGATAAGCTGTCAAGACTGCCTTCCTGCCAAGGCCATGTGCTTTCAGCTTCTAGTATAATAGTATGTTCATGAGAGAAGAAATTTCATGCTTACTCAAGGGGCCTAACCTGAACTTTGGAACACGTCTTTCTTTGCGTTGTCAGTGTGTATTTGCAGACTAGTGGAAATGATAGTCTGGCCCGTGAGTTGGATCAGCACTAACACCGTTGGTAGTTTTTTCATAGATAGAAGAGGGCATTGGATGGTGACAGACGGCAGCTATCCTGTGAGCACAGCATAACGTACAGAAGTGTTTAATCACTGTTGTGTGCACGTAAAACTATTGTAGCGTTGTATGTCAACTATACTTCACTAAAACATATGTATATAAATACACGCCCACACACATCAAGAAGAAGGCCGTAACTAGAAGAGTCGCACAGAAAGATTTCCACGGATTCACGGGAGAATTTCACTGTTCCGTAGGATGTCCTCTGCAGTTTTGAGTCTAGCCTGGGCTACACTGCTGTGCTTTGAAAGCAGATTAAAGCTTTTGGACAGATTTGATCTGCTCTTACAGTGGCTCATTACAGTGGGGGGGGGGGAGGGGGGGAGGCGGGAACAGACCAAGGGGATTACTTTGTGATGAATTTCAGTGCCGCTGGCTTCATTGAATTGATTTAGAGCTAAATCAAATATTTTAACAATTGTAAAATTACTGAGAAGGTTAATACTTGAAGCTCTCTAGGCCTTACCTTGTATGCATATGAGGTGTCGTGGGTCATGGAATATAGAAGGACCCAGTGAATGAAGACAATAGAGTACAGTTAGATAAACCCTAAATGACTTAATTTTTTAATGTTTATTTTATTTTTGAGAGACAGAGACAAAGTGTGAGTGGGGGAGGGGCAGAGAGGGAGACACAGAATCCGAAGCAGACTCCATCCAGGCTGTCGGCACAGGGCCCGAACCCACGAACCATGAGACGAGGCCGGACGCTTAATGGGTTGAGTCACCCAAGCACCCTTAAAGGATTTATTTTAAAGACCGGTACTATCTAATGCGTTTTGAAAAAGTCAGGAGTCCATTTGTATCGTCCTTTACTTAGTGAAGTCTTGATGCCATTTGCAAACTCAGTGTTTCTAAACTAAATCCTCGAGTCAAACTGAAATGAAGCCCTATTGGTACATTTAAATGGCAAAGTTACGTAGGTGAAACTGTTAGCAGTTTAAGCATCTGTGTACGTATACGTGTCCATTCACAATATCCTCATCCAGACATCTCTCCTGCTCTTGGAAATAGGAAAACCAATGTCTGAAGGGTTCTGCTATTGCCTGAGCAATGCAATATTTATTTCCTGTCTTGCAGTGAAAACTGTTCATTGTTTGCTCTTCACAGGTCACTGACAAGGAACGGGAGTTCGCTGCTGGGGCTGCAAAACAGCTCGAATATCAGCAATTGGAAGAAGATAAACTTTCTCAGAAATCATCTAGCAGTAAACTATCTCGATCTCCATTAAAGATTGTCAAAAAGCCTAAAAGCATGCAGTGCAAAGTGATACTTCTGGATGGATCAGAATATATCTGTGACGTGGAGGTGAGTGCACGTTTTAAAACTTTTTTTGTCCTAGATATTGAGACCTGGAGAATGTTGGTATAAAGCATCCAAGGCACTTTCTTGTGTTCAGAACTCTGGAAAATTATTCAGACCTGGTTTCTAAATACAAAATTATTTCCAAAGTCCCTAACAGATCACATTACTAAAAATACTTATAATGCCTCCAAAATGTTACAATCAAGAGAAAAATGTGATCTTAATTAAAAAAAAAAAATATTTTTCTAACACTTCCCATGGTAGGAAAAAAAAATGGAGGCCTTAAATCAAGTTTTCATTAATATCTTGTGAGTTATCATTTAAATGAATTTACTTTTTCTGTTTGAATAGTTATACTTTTTAATTTGAATGATTTTATTTTTTTCTATTTTAAATTATTTAATATTTTTTGTATTTGAATAATTTCAACCGTTCATCGGTATAAACTTGTAAATTTCTGTACACAGCACTGTAGGATAGTGTGAACTGAATATGTCCTCTTAGAGTAACTTTTTTTAATGTACATCGTGGTGGGCATTGCAGTTTGAGTGTAAAAAGGTATAGTGGCTTTTGTTTGTAAAGAAAAACTAAAATTCCTCTCAGAGAAGGAGCAGTGAGATGACTTTTGTCAGAGATAATTAGCAAGATCGAGTTAACGGATGGGAACAACACTACCTGTCCATAGCGGTGGAGACGGATGATTTGTTGCATTCTCTGTGTAGCACAGAGGACACACGGAGGGTGTGAACTCAGGCCACCGGAGCGGGAGTGCGTGTGCACCGGCCACAGTGCCTTCCCCCCACAGCTGGGAGGGAGCAGCTTGTTCTTTCCGCAGGTGATTCAATTTCAGATTTAACCTTTTCTTTCATTTGCTTATTTATTTATTATTTTTTTCAGTTTATTTATATTGAGATAGTGTGAGTGGGGGAGGGGCAGAGCAAGAGGGAAAGAGAGAGAAGAGAATCTTAGGCAGAGCTTTCTAAAGAAGAGTCTAGAAGGAAGTTTACTGAGTTTTGTGTGGGGGTGGCAGATAAATGCCGCAGGGCTGACTGAGGTACATGTAAGTGTTAACCATTCTGCTAAACTTAATTTATATCCCATGCTTCCAATGTGTTACAGATAACCTGTGGTTTTGAGTTCAAAATTTTTATTTTGTGCTTAACTTTGGATATAATTCAGTGTTACTGTTAATGCCCCTGTGAGCATTTTGAGTGACGTGGTCTTGTTGGTCAGTTATTTCTCTTTTATAATTCTTTTTATCAATTTGACAGGTTCTTAAGAATAATTCTTTTTTTCTGGGGCACAAAATCCTTTGCCAACAGGATATTTTCAGTTTTTCAATGGACGTTGGTAGTAGAAAAGAATGCGGCCACTATGGACTGACAGCCTTGTCGAGAAAATAGATTTGGGCATATGGCAGAGTGAAGTGGACTTATTTGTAGCTGACTGGCTGAAGGAGAAAAACGGACTGTGAATCAGTGACGTGGTTCTCAAGGTGGCAACAGGATTCTAGTTGAAAAAGCACATTCAAAATGCCTCTTGGTTTTAGATACGACGGCACATAAAACTTGGCTGGCAAGGTGCGTGGAATATAATAGGTAAACGGTGCTGAAAAACCTTGCCCTAAGGAAGTGTCCTTCAGTCTTGCTCTCCTCTAAACTGAGTTTTTATCCATGTCTTGGTTCAAGACACTCATGCACACATACACACACACACACACACACACACAAAGCTGAACTATTCTTTCCTTTTCTTTTTTTTTAATTTTTTTTTAATGTTTATTTATTTTTGAGACAGCGTGAACGGGGGAGGGTCAGAGAGAGAGGGAGACACAGAATCGGAAACAGGCTCCAGGCTCTGAGCAGTCAGCACAGAGCCCGATGCAAAGCTCGAACTCACGGACTGCAAGATCATGACCTGAGCCGAAGTCGGACACGTAACATACTGAGCCACCCAGGCGCCCCTGAACTATTCTTTTCAAGTGACGCAGGCCTTTAAAAGTGACTAATGGCCTGTGTGTCAGAATGCAGGCTTCTCATGAAGCAGACAGTGTGTGACACTAAAGCAAAGAAACAGGTCAAACTTTGTTTTGAGGGATCAGATGCAAAATGGAAATGTGTTGGAGGAAGGGGGTGTTCAGACTTCGTAACAGTTTGGGTGAAACTTACCTTTGGGTTTAAGTCGATTACAAACTCGGCATTAACCAGTTGCGTGGTGTAGCTGTCAGAAACATCCGTGCGGTCATGGTTGTTTCTGTTTAAGTGCAGCGTGTGGTTTGCCAAATGTGGCTGGCAGCCCCCTCTTCCTGGGCAGGAGAGATCCTGTCCGCAGTGTCTTGTCGATTAGCCCGTGCAGGATAGCATTTGTTGGAGCCACCAGACCCGGGTGTGAAAATAGATTTGTCTACTTGTAACCTGTGTGATTTCAAGGAACTCAAGCTTTCTGTGCTTCAGTTGACCGGAAAAAAAGGAGGTGAAAATACTTGCCTCAAAAAGCCATTATTGAGAAGATTAAGGTAGATACTTAGTTTGAACACTTTCTGCAACGTGGCATGTTCTTGAGAGAAACCGTGAACTCTGAACTGAGCTTATTCAGCAGAGAGTTACAGGATGGTGAGGGATCTGGAAACCTCTTCTCATGAAGAATGATTAGAGAAATAGAATGCATTGAAGAAACAAAACATTTCCACATGTCTCCTTCTAGATTTGGAGGGGACAGGATAGCGACTTTGAGTTACTCGGAAAAGTTGGCGTTGAATGTCTGTCATAACACGCAGATATTTTTTAAAGTATAGAGAGCAGAACTAAATTAGAAGTTACAGGAAGTCCAATTTTTAAGTAAACAGAAAACGCATGTTTTAAATTATTGTTGTCAACCTTGTGATCTATGTTCTGCATTAGGATTCCAGCAGAACCTGTAGGTGCATTTATGGAAACCATCAGCTCCTCAGATGTGGTCTCAGACCAGATAACTCCCAGTACCTCTTACTACTCTCAGACTCCTGGAGAGAAGAGACACACAAAAATCTGAATTGAAAAAGCAGAATTGTTGGGGCGCCTGGGTGGCTCAGTCGGTTGAGCGTCCAACTTTGGTTCAGGTCATGATCTCGCGGTCCGTGAGTTCGAGCCCCGTTCAGGCTCTGTGCTGACAGCTCAGAGCCTGGAGACTGTTTCAGATTCTGTGTCTCCTTCTCTCTGACCCTCCCCCCGTTCATGCTCTGTCTCTCTCTGTCTCAAAAATAAATAAACGTTAAAGAAAAAATTTTAAAAAAAGCAGAATTGCTTCCCTAAATC